CACTAACGAAGCACTAAAAAAGTAGACCACTCCCATGTGTTTTGGAGCAACATGGGGGGATTGTGACCTTTGGATGAGCTAAAAATTAATCTTTAATATCTCAGAAAGCAAAGCAGCACTAACGAAAATTTTAACGGCACAAACCAGCACTAACGGAGCACTAACCATTCAGACTAGTTGCTTTAATTTTGGAAGTGGGTGGGGTGTCAGCTTCACTCAGCTCCAGTCACCTACTTAGCTGAGGGGAAGCAAAAAGCCATCTCAAACACAACTGTCCCATAACCATGGGCTCTTTAAATAACACCTGAATTGCTACCATGGCCTGTTTTTACTTCAAGGTTCAGTGTATTTTTTATTATTCCTGGGGTACCATTTGATTTACAGCTGGCAGTTCTACACACTAAACCCATAAACAACAAGTCCCAAGAGAAGAGTGCAGGAGAGACTCTCCATGCACAGTAAATCACATACCAGGGAGCATGACATCAGCGACAGTAAAAGGTTCAGCGTATTAGAGTGAGTCAGCATGTTGTTTTAGTTCACTGCAGATCAATATGGATCAGTAATGATGAAAAGATCAGTTATAGAGACAGTTTTAAAACTGGTTAAAGTTTAAACTAGTTTAAAAAGGACAAATGCAGACTGCACACTACTACAGCCAGTTGCTGCGTGTTTCTAGGATCAGCTCAATTCAACATGGTCAGCTTAAAATACTTTAAATACTTTGTCATACTCCAGCAGGGTTAGGTAGTAACAGGAGGTGCAAATAGTCCAACAGAGCTGTGCACAGCAGCTCATCATCATTGTGTCAATGTCCAGCTAAATGTAGGGTTCCTGCTCATGTGGAAACCTGTTCTTACTCAGAGTCATAACTTTAAATGTAAAAACAGCTGCCTTAAAATACTTGTTGCTTTAAAATTAATTATTTATGTTCTGGCAAACTTTATACTGTTGTGGCAAAAAAAGAAAAAGAAAATTGTAACAAATTATCAGGGTCAGAGGAACAAATGCACATTTGAACATTAATGGTGCTAAAATCATCTACTGCTAAAGAATAAAAGAGAGACAAATAGCATGGCCTTTGTATCAAACTCACAATGTTAACAAACGTGATTTGTCTATGCACTACTTTGTAAGTTATTTCAAATTGAGCAAAGTACCTACCCAAGAATTACATTTCATCAACAAGAGAAACAGACACAAGAGGGGGCGTAATTTCTTAAATGTTGTCTCTTACACATACACTTGAATCTATGAGCCACTCCCAGCTTGTTGTACTGTTGCCAATCACTGGACTAAACTTAATGGAAAATATTCTATTAAGCTGATAAACTTCTGAGAAATCTCCACATGAAGCCTTGGCTAGGAATTTATCTAAAGGCTGCAATTATTTACACTGTTGATAACAGACCACTAAGGACCATAACCGTCCCTACAAGTACTGGGTTAACGTTGTCAAATAATCACCCCGCGTCAGGCACAACTGAAACTAGTGTGGATCATTAGTTCATGCCCAGATGTTTACAGGACATGAAGAAACATATAGTCAATGCTCTGATGAAATATCAAAATGTTAGAGGAGCAAAATGTCTTTACACAATGAAATATGTCAACAAGTGTGTCAACTGATGTTGTTGAAAGAAATAGATTATGTTGTCCTGAGTAAATGCCAAAGTTAGAGAGGCAATGGGGGAGTGGTACTGGTAGAAGATGTAACATATAGTTATGTAAATACAAGTGGTAACACCTAAAACAAATACACTTGTTTAAAAAGACAACACACCACTCTGTGCCCCTGCATAATGTGGGGAAGTGCAGGTTTCCTGAATAAAACGTTGGGTCTACAGACGGGACAGCACCAGCAATCAGCCAATGCAGCATCTTGATGTCAAACGGTTTGTTCATCATAACTTGTTTAATACCAAAGTTGTGATTCTTTTACAAACTTTTACAGCTTTAATTTAAATAACGTTCAAGATAGTAGAACAGCACAAAGAACTACCTAAATGCTCTGAACACAACAAGTTCAGAGGACTGTGAAGTCAGGAAGACTTGTTTGAACTTAAATGTATTTATACAAGATTGAAAAAAAAAAAGTTCAATACAAAAACAAATGGACTTTATTTGTAACATAAGACGTTTGAATTTATCACGTCCTGGATGACTGAGAATCTTCACCAGCGTGAGACTGAAAACAACCAAAATAGTGAAAAATAAATTTGTAAAAAACAAACAAACAAAAAAAACAGAAGTAGATTGCAAACAAGAACTTGCTAAATCACCAAGTTAAGAAACAAAGTTATACAGTGATACAAAAAAAGCCTAATAAGAAATGCAAAAAAGTTAAGTCTGGTCCTCTGGCCATTCAAAAAAAAAAATGTAGAAACGTTTCGTCTTTCATCTGAAACACTTCCTCAGTCTGAGGTGCTGTATTCAGCTCAGTCTTATAAATAGCAGAGTGGATCAACCAGTTTGCTGCTGACAACTAAAACCAGTTGCTCCATGATCAAGAAGGACCATCAGCCTAACGATGGATCATTAGCACACTGATGGCTGTTTACTATTCACAGAGGGTTGAGTGATACAATCAATCACAGCATTGTAAGAGGGGGACAATTGAACCCGGAGGCCTCCATCCCTGTTTAATGATGGACGATTTCTTTTCACAAAGATGGCCTCCTTTACTCCTCTCTCAAACCATCGTTCCTCTCTGTCCAGGATGTGAACATCTTCATCCCTGAAAGAGTGACCGCTGGCCTGGAGATGAGTGTAGACCCCAGAGTCCTGGCCTGATGATGTTGATCTTCTGTGCTGGTCCATCCTTTTGGCCAGTGGCTGTTTAGTTTCCCCGATGTAAGACTGATCACCCTCCTGACACTGAACAGCATACACAACATTACTCTGTTTGTGCCGGGGGACTGGATCTTTGGGATGAACCAGTCTTTGCCGTAATGTATTTTGTGGTTTAAAAGCCACTGGGACGTTATGTTTAGAAAATAAACGTCTCAGTTTCTCTGATACTCCCTCAACATATGGAATGACCACTGGTCTGGGTCTGGGTTCCTCCTTTTCACCTGTTGGCTGACTGGAGTCCTGTTTGGGTTTCTTCTCTTTTCAGGAAGGCCCAGTTAGGATATCCACATTGCTCTAGAGCCTGTCTTGTGTGAGATTTCTCCTTCTGCCTGGCTCCTGAGTTAGTGGGGACGCTGTCTGCTCTGTGGTACAGAGTCCTGATGACTCCTAACTTGTGCTCCAAGGGGTGATGGGAGTCAAACTGCAAATACTGGTCTGTGTGGGTGGGTTTGTGGTACACCTCAGCTTGCAAATGTCCTTGAACAGAAACTGAGACCTCGCAGTCCAAGAAAGGATGAAAGACGAAACGTTTCTGCTTTTTTTGTTTGTTTTGTGAATGTCCAGAGGACCAGACTTAACTTTTACAGATTTTCTACCTGGATCATTGAGCATGCATCAGGATACCTAATAAGAAATGTCTCAAACGTCCACCCATCATCTTTACTCGCTGTGCTAAGCTATTAAACAGTTATATACAAACAGATAAAATAATGGCAAATACATAAGTATGGTAGGTACATATAGGTAAAATAAAGATGACTGTAGTAGATCATACGATATGGACGGTTTCTTTTCACAAAGATGGCCTCCTTTACTCCTCTCTCAAACAACTGGTCAGAGTTACAAAAAAAAACTGATTAAGAAAAAAAAAACAAGCATTGGAGTTGTTTTTTACTCATTTACCTTTTATTTATACAGGTAGTCTCATTGAGCCATGAGAACTCATTTTCAAGAGAGACCTGTTTAGGGAGCAGATGGGGGTTAAGGGCCTTGCTCATGGGCCCAGGGTGGGGCGAATGAGGATGGGGGCAAGTGTGGGTGCTTCACCTACCTCACCCACAATTTTAATGTTGTCGGGGCCGGGGCGTGAACCGGCGATCTTCTGATCACAGGCCTAACCTCTGCGCCACCACTCCCCCAATGTAGCCATTATGTTTGCATTCTGACATCTGGGACTTTGTGGGGTCCCACACAATTCACGTGACACCATCCCTGATCAACGTTATTGAAAAAAAACAACTAAGAAATGCTACAAGGGGAAGAAAAAGCTATTTTAAAGAGGCAATACCAGAGAAAATATCCATCCATCCATTATCTTTACCCGCTTCTTCCATTTTGGGTCACGGGGGTCACTGGTGCCCATGTCCAGCAATCACTGTGCGAGGGGCGGGGTACACCCTGGACGGGTCGCAAGACCATCACAGGGACACATAGAGACAAACGAGACAAACAACCATTCACTCTCTCACTCACACCTAGGGACAATTTAGAGTTACCAATCAGCATAACATGCATGTTTTTGGTCTGTGGGAGGAAACCGGAGCACCCGGAGAAAACATGCAAAGTCCACCCAGAAAGGCCCCTGGACCGGGGTTTGAACCAGGGACCTGCTCGCTGAGAGGCAGCAGCTCTACCAGTTGCGCCACCGTGCTGCCCCAGAGAAAATATACAAAAATAAAAATATATGATGTAAAATGATACAAATGCACAAAATGGACAAAAGTCAATTAAGAAAAAAATGTAACGAGAGTTAAAATAAATAATTTATCTATATAGCGCCAAATCACAACAGAAGTCATCTCAGGGCACTGACCAGAAACATTCACATATAAAATCAGTTAATAATGTTATTTATCTAAGGAGCCAACAGATTGCTTTGAGTTTTAACTTCACAGGCTCCCATACTAAGCAAGCACAGAGGCAACAGTAGAAAGGAAAAACTCCCTCATGAGGATGAAACCTCCAGCATTATAGATTAGGGATTAGATTTAAAAAAAAAGTTATTGATCCCATGCAGCATATATAAAGTTTAGAACCACAACCACTAACTTATATTTTATTCTGGTTGTCATATGCAGGACATATGGGGGGGTTGAACACATCTATGCTTCAGACAGACCTAAAGAGTTTATGACTGTTAAACCTACCTTTGCCATTCTGCCACGCTGTGTACCAGGAGAGGCTGAGGAAAGACGTGAAGAAAATGAGTGCAGTGGCCACAGTTCCATTTCTGAGCCTCATCTCATTTCAGCGATGCCTCCTCTCGGCCGAGTGTCGCGCAACCCGGAGCTGGTGCCTCCCTCTCCTCTCTCCAGTCCGTCCGTCTCTTTAGGATGTTGACACCGGCGAAGGCGCGGGCATACGGGCGCGTCAAAACCGTAAAGAGGCTCCCACTTAACAGCACCGACTTCTCAGCTGTAGGTCTCTGATGTAACCGGAGGGCTGCTCCTCCTGTGCAGTCCGACCTACGCCGATGAGTCACAAGTCAACTAAATTTCGCGACAGGATAGATTACATTGTGGGCTAGCGCGGAACAGACGAGCTGTCCATGGTAATTATATTTACAGCCACTCGTTAGCTACAAGTTCCACGCAGAGAGCTTTTCAAGTGTGTGACGATTGATCCTCCGGGATAGGCTGCTGGGTGTCTGACGGTGGCCGAAAGGATACGCCTCAAATCACGTTGGTCCCGCTTCAACTGGCGACAGATACAAATTAGAAGGAACCCCGACGTGTTGCTGACTCCCAGCTTCGTGTTTCCAGTTCACCGAGCCCGTCAATCTGCGACGCAGTTTGGGTTAGTTAGCTAGTTAGCTGCCGAGCTAACGTCAAGTTGAAACTCCGCTGTGTCGCGCTCTGCTCGGGGTCTGTCAACGAACCTGCGGTCAGCACAGCTGCCAGGGCGGAGTAACTCTTCTCACTGCCCTCTCCTTAGAAGCTTCGCACTTTTAACTTTACCCGTCTGTTAAAATACACCCTAAACCGAACTAACGCCGCGCTGTTTCCATACATCATTGAAAGTCCAGACGTCACGTTTTATCAGCAACTAGCGGATTCTCGTGTAACGTTTGAGGGTTTGTTAAAAAATGTAACTTCCGGCGCGCGGTTTCAAAATAAAGTATTTGTCGGCAAGACGAAGCGGGTTTATCGTTCATTTTTTTATGTTGTGATTTTAAGTTGAAATTGTATTTTCTTGAATCGTTTAAGCGTTTCCTGTGAGGGTTAAACAAGAGAAGGAACGCTGTGCAGTTCAAGGAATGAGTTTGTGGATAAATCTTGGCACAGATATTAAAGCTTGAGTTTATATATTAAAAAAGATAAAAGTCAGTTTATTTAAATATATATATAAGATAAGTCTGTTGGAGTCAGCCTCCCTACCATCACAGACATCTACAGGTCTAGATGCAGGAAGAGGTCCATCTGCATCATGAAGGACTCCACTCACCCAGTACTCACACTTTTTGCCTCACTCCCTGCAGGAAGGAGGTTAAGGAGCTTTAAGGGTAGAACCACTAGACTGAGGAACACCCTGAAGCTGTTAGACTCATGAATCTCTAACCAACATAATCACTGTGAAAAACCACATCATGTTGCTGCTGATCTGTTTCATGTTACTGTGTTCATTCGTACTCATCTGCTCACACAGACTCGTGTTCGTGCTGCTGTTTGGCATATTGTTTTTATTGTTTTTATGATAGTGCTTAGTGTATATTTAGTTGATGTTTTTCTTGGTTCATATCTTAGATCTTATTGCTGTTTTTCCTTTACATTTTATTGTGGGATGTAACTGGGACTCTTTGTACATAACCTCGTTCTACTGCTTGTACCACATGTGGTGTGTATGACAAATAAATTTCTCTGACTCTGATACGATGGGGTAGTATGTACTGATATAAACGGTTGTTGAAAAAAGAGGTGATGGACCTAATTTTGCTTTGTTTTGTTTTTTATTTACAAATAATGCAATTTGTTCAGACTGGAGTTTGAAATGTGTGGTAGCTATTAATGATAATGATTATTTTTTATCTATGAATGTTTCTGTCCAGTGCCCTGAGATGATTTCTGCTGTGACTTGGTGCTACATAAATAAATTGAATTGAATTGAATTTATTTTTGTTTGTTTCTTTTTTTTTTTAAGATAAGGGGCAGATGTAATGTGATTTACTTCTTCTCTCTCACTTACTTCTCCCTTCCATTAATTGATGTATTTTGTGTTTTGAATTACTGTACATACAATACTTTTTAAATAAATAAATAAACTCAGTTCACAAACAATGTACATATTTTAATTCTTGTCAGTATTTAGAATTAGAGCTGGGGTCCCTGAGGGCTATTAAAACAAAGTGAAATACTATATTTCAAAGAGAAACAGATTTTTTCCCCCACAAAGTGATTTAATTCCACGTCCTGTAGAAAAGCGTCACCTAGTGGCCATATAGATACACTGCATATCCACCAAACTCAGTGCTGAGAGCAATGTAGCTGCATTATTCATTTTGTTTATACCCATAACTAAACTTCTGTATGAACCATCAAAACAAGTCCCCTTCATATTTTATCTGAATAAAAGTAAAAATAAATGTAGTTAGTATGACCAGAGTGCTGATATTACAATTACTGTACTTTTGCGGATTTTGTTAGCAATATTTTTTAACAGCACAGTTTTTGTAGTCGTTTTATAGTAAGATTGTATTTCATGTCATTTTGCAGTTTAAAAGCTAAAACTATAAATACATTCATGCATCAAGCATAAGACATTTTACTCATTTTGTGTGATAAACCAAAGAAGAACAGAAAGAACTCGACACAAAGCACAAGCATCAGTTGAACAACAGCGTGTAAAAATATACTTTCACAACCCTAATGTTTTAGCACATGGCTGCTTTGTTATCACACTATGCCAAGTGTTATCTGATGATGACATGATTGCATTTGTGTTAAATATAGTCTTACCACAATACAGCTGCTTATGTATAGCTCTGTTACATCAAGAACATTGCCACCTTTGCAAAAGCAAGCTCCTCTGGGACCACCTCCACGATCTAGCTTGTTAGTGTGAGTCAAGCACATCTGGGATCCTCTGGATCATACACCATTTGTCATGAAACACAGTGTTATGTTACCTTTGTTACACAGTTTTCTGAGCATTTTAGTCAAGCATTTACAGAAACAATGTTGGTTAACTCTTTTCAACAACCAGGATTCCTGAACTGACGCTTCAGTACAGCTCAGAAGTTTTTGTGTTTGCTGGTCATTTCACTGAAAATTTCATTGAAGCTCAGTATTTGTGTAATTTTTTTTATTTTTATCTTCAGTTTAATTTTACATCTATAGCTGAGCCTAATTAAGCTTACCAAAATAAAACAACATATAAGGAAGGAGGTTAAGGAGCATTAAGTGTAGAACAACTAGACTGAGTAACAGCTTCTACCCTGAAGCTATTAGACTCATGAATCTCTAGCCAGAATAATCACTGTGAAAAATCACATGACCATGTGCACATAATTTTGTTCGTGCAAATGACAAATAAAGAACCTTGAATCGTTGAATTTCATTTTCCAACAGGACTTGGCACCTGCACACAGTGCCAAAGCTACCAGTACCTGGTTCAAGGACCATGGTATCCATGTTCTTAATTGGCCAGAAAACTCGTCTGACCTTAACCCCATAGAAAATCTATGGAGTATTGTGAAGAGGAAGATGTGATACACCAGACCCAACAATTCAGAAGAGCTGAAGGCCACTATCAGAGCAACCTGGGCTCTCATAACACCTGAGCAGTGCCACAGACTGATCCACTCCATGCCATGCCACATTGGAGATGAAAAGTTTGATAGCCACAGGGAGGAAGGACTTCCTGTGTTGTTCTGTGGAGCACCTCGGTGGTCTCAGTCTACGACTGAAGGTGCTGCAGGGTGTCCAGGGTGTCATGCAGGGGGTGTGACGTGTTGTTCAGGATCTGGAGCAGTTTCCTCAGCATCCTCTGCTCAGACACCTCTGTCAGAGACTGCAGGTCCACTCCCAGAACTCCCAGAACTGTAGATGACATAGTGAATTAAATAGCCTAAAATAAATATGCGCCGCAGCATGAGGGAGCATTTTGTGACAAACTGTGTGTTTTGTGAGTATTTCTTTAATTTTCCAAACCCAACAATGAAACAAATGTTTACATGTGAACTAAGATTGCATAAAAAATGTTTGAAACTATGTCAGTGCAATAATAACCATAATGAGTTTAAATATTTCCCTCCAGCTGACTCACGCCATGCAAATTGGTGTTAATGGTCAAATTACTGTTGAGTTCCTGGTTTTTTATTTATTTGTGTCGGCTTTAACAAATTTTCTAATTATACTGACATTTTCCAGCATGACTGAAAAGATGCTCTCTGGAGGTGGTTGTCTTCTGCTATCTGATCGACCCCTCCACCCCCCAGGTCTGTTTCAGGGCAGACATTTTGACACATCATTAGAGTGACATTAATCGTTGATGGAAGGTGCTGCTGAAGTTTTACTCAATTGTTAAAATAAGCCTAATTATCATTGCCATGTATTTGTATTGGTGTTTTTTATATATTGTGACAAATCCAAACCATCTAATGTAAAAAATAATTCATTAAATGCTATTTGGGGTATTGTTTTAATAGTTTGAACTAAGTCACATGTGTAATAAATGAATTAATTACAGTGACAAAGAAAAAAGTTAACAACTTGTGATCCATCTATAACTAAAATCTGCTGTGTGGTCATTTACTGAACTTGTTGATTGAAAGTGAAAGAACGAGATGTCAATCCATCGGTTCTTAGTGTAAGAAATGTAAAAATATGAACATGGAGCTAACTGGCCTTTTTCTTACCATACATACTGACTTATTAAAACTTGTGCAGTATTATTAACACTGACAACAGCTTTGGTGTAAACTGATGAAACTAATGCAGTTAAACATCATTCAGCCCAAATCTTTGGATTTAAAAAGGATATTTAATCAGTTTAAGATCATCAATAATAATAAAAAATATATAAAAAGCAAGAGTGTATTATTTGTACTGATAATGTTGATCCTGAGACAATAACTATATCTGACCTGTACACCAAATTTTGTGAACAATTTATTCAAATTCAAAATTTAGACCTTATTATTCTGCATATCTCTTTTATTTTATATTTACATATTGCACAATACAATAAAATAAAATTTGTACGCTATATTTATTTATTTATTGCTTTTCTTTTCATATACAACCTTTCATATGTAATTTGGATATTTAACAACAGAATTTTAAATTTTATTGCTAAACATTAATTGTTCGCAGCAGTGAAATGCAGAATCACTTTACAGATTATGCAAAAACATCTATAATCTGAATTAAATAAAAAATTCAGTATATAAGTTTTCTTTTCTTTTTCAGCCCCTTAATAAAACCTTTTTAGCAATGAAATAAAAATAAAACAGATTTATAATTTATCAAAAGGTGTGATTTTTAAGCCTCCTCACCCAACATTTAACACGTTATCTTGATAAAAGAAGTACTTTTCTCTCGGACTGCTCCTTAAATCAGTGTATTTGTTTCCTGTTTAGTCCATGGTCTTATCACTCCAGGCCATTGACTTTCTCTTGGCCAGCTCCATCCAGGTCGGCTGCTTGCTGTCAGACTGCAGCACTGATGGTCGTGTGAGCAGTGAAGATGGAGACGAAGGTGACTCCACGTTCTTCCTCGGCCATTTGTCCTCACGAGGCTTTTCTGGTACTCTGATGGGGCTCGATTCTAAAGAAATCCACAAGCACAAAAATAAATACCTACATTAAAGTTCTTGAGGTAGGCTATCAGAACGTTTATGTGCTATAATGGTAATTTGTGAGTCAACACACCTTCAGATTTGACCCCTTGTCTGAGCTCTGCCACCACGTCTTTGCTTGCAGCTGGAGGTTTTGCTGAGATGGGGGTGTCACCTGATGTCTGCACCGCTGTTTGCGGGTTCCTTTGATCCACCTGGGAGAAAAAAAACACTGTTAAAGGATAAAAAGCAATACACTTGAAAGGCTAAAATTATAGAAAATTTATTAATAATAATATTGTTTTGTTTGTATTTGAGAATAAGCAAAAATAATTATATTGCTGTTAAAAAAGGATTACCGTAATGCCTAATTATCATATCAGTGAGTGTAGAAGTTTATCTAATATCTATTATTAGCAATTTGATATACATCTGTCTGAAACAAAGGGCTATTCAACTAAATTGCTCAGGGGGCCACAGTTACAGAAAGCCAAGAGCTCAGGGGCTGAACATCCAGCAGTTATTGTCATTAAGTAAGTTTGTTTTATGATTTAAAATCTAGTTTTATTTTAAAATGAACCCATTGTGGGCTGAACTGAGTTCACCCGTGGGCCTGATTTGGCCCCCGAGCCACCAGTTGAATAGTCCTGGTTTAGTTCTTTTGAAGTGGGGTTCTGTGGAAATGCTATGAACAATAACAATCTTATCTGTTATAGATAGCTCTTTCAGTGCTCTCCATTTAGAGGAAAAGTTTAATTCTGACTGAAACGACGAGCTAATGTTTAGTCTGGGCAGGGCTAAATACTAAATTGCTTGTATCTTGTTAATGTCAATGTCCATTTTTTTCATGTAGCACATGAAAAAACACAATTTTACCAAAAGTGCTTTACAATTTAGTCAAATTAAAATGAAAACAAGAAAAAAAAGAACAATAAAATATGTCTTGTTTCACTAAGGAAACAAAAAAGTTAATAAAATACAACACACAGCAACAACAAAATCAGCTCTAACGGGTTCTCAGGCTCAGCATGGATCAAATGCCAAGGAAAAAAGACGAGTCTTGAGCAAAGATGTAAAAGTCTCAACATTTTCAGTGGTTTTTAAATTATCAGGAAAACTATTCCACAGTTTTGGAGCAGAAGCTGAAAAAAGCCCGATCACCTCTGGACTTCAGTTTGGATCTGGGGACTTACAAGAGAAATTGGTTGGTTGACCGTAGTGCTCCTACTGGAGTGTAGATGTTAAGCAGATCACATAAATATGACGGGGCCAGACCTTTTAAAACTTTAAAAACAAGCAATAACATCTTAAAATCAACCCTGAAGTGGACAGGGCTTATGCGTTCGTGTTTTTTTAGTTGCTGTTAATAGACGAGCTGCTGCGTTCTGGATGTAAGCGATGCAGACACGATTTATCTAAACCTACAAAACAAGTCCAAATGAGAGGTAATAAAAGCATGATTCACCTTTTCAAGGTCTCGAAGAGGGCGTTCACCTTAGCAATGAGTTTTGGTTGGAAGAAACTGGATTTCACAACTGCATTTATCTGTTTGTCTAATTTAAAAGCACGATTGAAAACAACCCCCAGATTCCTGACAAAGGAGTGGCTGTATGAAGCCAAGAGGCCAAGAGTGTCAAGGTCATTACATTTACCAAAGCTGCTGACTGCAGGTTTATCTTCACATAATTCAGGAAACTTAGTTTCAACCAGATTTTAACATCATTCAGACAGTTTAAAAGTGGTTTCAGGGGAATGACACTGTCTAACTCAATGGGCAGATACAACTGAACATCAACAAAGCAATGAAAAGGAATGTTATATTTACTAAAAATTAACACCAAAGGCAACAAGTAAAGATTAAAAAACAGCATCTTAAAACAACTTCAGTCTGAAAAATATCAGTGTGTTCATGCAAACCCACAGGTTGTGACATTGCTGTCAACTTCACATTACATGTTTATTCACTGTACATAGACATCAGCACAAATAGCAGCAGCTGTAGTACTTCCTTTGCAGTTTGGAGCACTTCCTGAAGGAATATCATCTAATAATAATATTCTTATCTAATTAAATAATCAAATTGCAATATCCTTTAAGTTATATAATATCACCATGTAATTACATGGTCATGTATTGCAAAATTCTCAAAAGTATAAGTGATTAGAAAAATAACATTCATGTGAAAAGTTATGAAATGTTTGAAACTGAAGTTGTTTTAAGATGGAAGCAATTTGTTTAATTATTAGTCTGGATGAGAGTAGACAATTAGCTCATCAATCTGGTCAGAATTAAACTATATTTCTCCAAACAGAGGTACCGGTAATTAAAAAGGTATCTATAACAGGTAAGATATTCAGAACGTCTCTAGAGAACTTTACATATCTGTTCAGTTTTTCTAGATTAAATAATTTAAAACAGCTGAGCATTTAAGTCATACTGATGCACAAAGCTGATGTCATTTGGAAGGTTTTAAATTTAACATTTAATGCATATTTAGAATGAGGATTATTGTGAAATAGGAAGCCAAACAGTACAGGAAACATTGTGTGAGATACAACTATTATCACAAACCCCTTTGAACGACGGCGGCGCTGTCCACTCGGTTCGTTTCTCCAAAAATGCAGCCCTGTCCGCCACCGAGCCAGTCCAGATTGTTCGTCTAGGAAACAGTGATGGACTCTCTTTGTTCAACGAAGAGTCTGAAGAAGGAACTGGTGTCTCTGGGGACTCTGACGTCTGAGCTGAAGATTTGATCTGGGTGGCAGGCTGGAAACCTCGATTACTCCAGGACGGTTGGTGTTGGCCTGAGGATGACGGAGCAAAAGACTGGGGCGTACTCCCTTGTGAGGGCTGAGATGTGGTCGCTGTTTGTGAATGAGAGCGTAAAAGGGACTGGGTTGTCCAGGAGACGCTCTGAGCAGTCTGAGACGCAGTCTGAGATGTGTTGGACTGGAACTGGCCTTCATTTGGTTGCTTGGAGGACTGTGATTCAATGAGTATCAGCTTCTGTTGCATTGCCACTGCTGATGGTTTAACAATCTGCTCTTGACTACTTGCTTGAACTAATTCTTCTTTCATCGTATCTGCTGATGGCTGGATTGAACCTTGCTGAACCTTAACTGTTTGCATTTGAGGCCCAGTCATTGTTTCTGTCATTGTTTTCGTTTCTGTTTGAGTTTTAGGCTGCGCCTGCGCTTGTGGTCGAGCAGCGGTTTGTAAACCTGTAAAATCTCTTGGAAATCTGCTGGTGAAAAGCTGTTGGAGGCTCTTGGTTTTTTCCATGGCCAGACTCATCCAGGACACCTCTGATGAGGATGTTGGGGACTGAGGCTGCTGGGGAGTGGTTTCTGCTTCTTTGTTGTTTGAAGGAGTTGTTTGAACTTTTGTGGTCGTGGTGGGAGGACCGTCGGTCAGCAAAGTGTTATGCTTGACTGGGAGGGCCACACCAGATGGGGCTGGATCTAAAGGAGTGCCACAAGTCTGTTAGAAATTATCAATGGAACCGGTCAAAATAACTGAGCAGTCTTTTAATGAGTGCAAAGTTCATCTGTGATTAGTAAAAGTCTTATTTTTCTAGACTGATTATTTACCAAGAGGGACTTGGCCTGATTCAAAGACATAGCAGCACAAATACCTGTATAATGTTTAACTCTACAAGGCACTGAAGTATGAAGGTACACCATGACAGTATACATACTAATTAAAAAGAAGGCAAATGTATCTCTGTATCTCTGTATTTCTTTGTAACAATACTTCTTGACAATAAATGGTATACCATTATAAAGCCTGATTAAGTCCCCTTAAATGGTGCAACTACATGGTACAAATGGTACAAACTACATTCATGGGTTGAGCAGCAGAGTTGAGTATGTAGCTTGTGCCAATGAAAAACTTCTAAAATCTCAATCAGTGCCAAACAGCTTATGCTGACTGTTGTCTGGCGTTGCTTATTGGATGATTGAAGTCTGAAGAAACAGGACATAGTGGCAGTTTAACAATTTATTAATTTAATAAACAGGGGCCTCCGTAGCATGTGGAAGAACCATACGCAACCACAAAAGTCTGACATCTCTTCATGCTGCTCACCAGCTTGGTCACACACTGCAGCAGGATAGCGTTCCATTTTTTAGCCAACATTTGCCGTAAGTCAGCCAATATTGTGCCAACAAACAACATGTGAGGTCTGAGGTGGGGCTGAGGTCAGGACTGCAGGCAGGCCATTCCATCTGATCCACTCCTAAATTCCAGAGGCAGTCTTTGAAAAAACTCACTCTATTGGGGAGAATGCTGTCATATTGGAGTTTAGAGTTCGGTCCCACACTGTGGTGATGTGGGACTACAACTGGTTACAGAATCTCATCTCCCGAGATGTCCACTTCATGGCCTGTCTCAGACATCCCCAGTTATTTGGAACATGGCTTTCAATTAGGAGATGGCACTAGCAGACTCAAATAACGCTCCAACTTAGTCTTGAAGTTATTCTATAGCATGAGCCCTATCCAGATCAGCAAAACGTGGCATGCTTGGAGCAGATGAGATAAGATAGAACTTTATTGATCCCGCAGGAAATTGTTGTCTAGATAGATGCTTCCAAGATGGCCACGCTCAGCCGAGCTGCAGCTTCGTAGGCTCCCGGTGAACTCAATTTTTTTTTATTTTTGCACCTACAATGCACATCCACAGTACAGGTATGACCGTGACACACTTGTGAAGTTTTCTGTGTCGCTGCCTCGCTATCGTGCCATCGTGGTTCAGTCCTTCCAGCCTTGGGCTCAGGCCTGTCATGGTGGCTGTCTCCATGATCCTCCATCTGCCTGCATGGACCGAACTCTACGGACCCGTTCAGTTCCATGGGGAAACCTAGATGTTCTCCATCAGCTGAACTCAGTTCTGGATGGCAGTCTGGGAGGGCAGCTGCTGCGGTCATGGTTACCATCAGGCTGCTGATAGGACCTGCTAACAAGACCTGCTAATGTTGCTAACAAGATCCTCCGTCTGCCTGATCAGACCGAACTCTGCGGACCCACTTGGTTCTGCGGGGGAACCTTGGATGGTCTGCTGGACCCAGTTCTGGAGGGCAGTCTGGGAGGCAGCTGCTGCGGTCCTCATTATCATCATGCTGCTGAAGGGACCTGCTAACAAGACCACACCGCTAACAGTACCATGGTGCCAACGGGACCATGTTGCTATAGGACCATGCTGCTGTAGATTTATTTATTTTTCACTTTTGGTGCCTTGTTTCTGTATTTCTGTAGTGAACCTAACCTGAGGTCAAAATTAAGCCTAAGGTCAAAACCCTTGACCTTAAGAACCTTGTGGGACAGAAACTGTCATTTCATTGATCTGCATCCAGAAATACAGTTTGACCCATCCTGAGACTTTCTTTCCTGAATTAATCAAGTGGAAAAGACAATTCTCTATGATCATTACTATTTTACAAATGTTTGATAATCAAATTGTGTTAGTTCAAACAATGTTTACAGGTTGAAGAGAACTACTCATTTTTATTTACATAAACAGTAAGTAATGATTTTTATTCCTCAGTCAAAGAAGAAATCAGGTTAATATGCATTTCTTGATTTTCTGTCTTCAATGAGCAAGTTTGTAAGTGTGTGTTAAAGTTCAGGTTTCGGTCAACTAAGAAGTTTACTGAAAAGAAATGTCATGTTTAAATTTTACAGCAAGATACTAGGTGAATTGACTCCACGAAGTCTGAATTTCTCCAACAATCTTTCTGTCTGTTTTAAACAATCTTAATCTCTATCCTTGACTTTCCATAACACCTTACATCACAAACCACACCTCTGTTCTGGTCCATCGACCAATCAAAAAGCTCTCAAATGACCTGGAAGTCGAACCCGTTTAAATGTGGCAACTTCCCGGTTCTCTCGGAGTGTTGTCGAAGAGAGACGAGATGAGTAGAGCTTTGAAAGAGTTGGAGACGTAAAGAGTTCAGAGTTCTTGGATGCAGAACGCAGGCATCCAAGGTGATCCAGAGACGATTTTGGGAATTATAACTTCTGTTTGGATAACCTCGCACGGCTCTCTAGGTATTTGGCTGTTCTCAACGGAGACGCTGAAAGTGGCTGGAAGTAGGACTTCACGCCGAACTGATCTATCTTCAGAAAGGTAAAGTCGACCTTCACCAAAAGTGTACCGTTGGCCAAGCTGATTCTCCAAAGAGCGTGCGTGTTCTGGTACCACAGATAAATTCCCTCACACATCTCTCTGTAAGATAAATCTCCATTTTCCATCTTTAAACTCTCCTTTCCCTAAGTTCATTACAGATATTTTTAGAAATGTCTGAAGCAAAGTTTCTCAATCACCGCCGTGTGAATTGAAGTCTGCTGTTCTGCTGAAAAGTGAAAACAGTCGCCGTATTGTTCTCACTTCCTGTAAAACTAGCCATGTTGTTGTTTTCATATTCTGCCAAATTAATGTAAATGTTTGATGTTAAACTTTGATTCTGTAAATAAATGACCGCATTCATTTTGATGGGTCAAAGATAAATAACGTCTCTCGTTACATTTCTGTTAAATTCAATGCACGACATTTACACAGTCAGAAAAATGAAGAACCCGTTAAATGTATGAATATATCTGCACCCTGTTCATACTACAGTCACATGCTATGAACAAATCCTAGTTTATGTTAGTTTAGTTTATGTTAGTGCTCACATTAAGCGTGTACATTATAACCGAACAGAAGCTATGAGAATCGTGGTGCTGCTGTTCAGTGTATTATTTTGCACTATTAGTGAATGGAGTATATCTTAGATCTTTTAGCGTATCATTGGGCGTTCATTTAGCGTACATCTTAGTTTATACTGTATCTAAGATCCTTATTTACGGGGTTTTTTTTACACTTTATATTTTTGCTATTGTTTGATGTAACTGGGACCCTGTGTACACAATTCCGTTCCACTACATGTACCACATGTGATGCGAATGACAAATAAAGATCTCTGACTCTGATGTAGCAGGGTCCATACAGGTGCAGACAATCAGGCATCAATCAGGCACCTTGCTGCCAGCAACTGTGGTACCAGAAACTCATAACAATTATCAATAGCAGAATGAACTGTTTTGTATGGGCAAGTTTTTCATGGTCAAACCCACATACTCAACTCTGCTGCACAACCTACAGATGCTTTTTCCTTAGAAATGTTGCACCATTGAGGAAAAATGATCAGGTTTTCAACAGTGTAAAATTTATTACAAAGAAGCAGTGTCAAAACAAAGACATACTCCACCAAACACATGTTTTCGTATGATTTTGCTGTTTTTTATCTTCATAGATGCATTAATTTCCGCAGTTACTGGTGTATACTTTTAAAAATAATTTCTAGAATAAACTTAAAAGTGATCAAAAACTCACCTTTTGGATGGAGAGCGCAAGCTGTGTTCATTGACACGTTTTCAGGCATTTGACTTGTGAGGTCGCCCGTTTCCTGCCTTGTCTTGTTGTCACATTGGTCATCAGACAGCTTTGAGCAGCGATTACAAGAGGTTTCAGATCGGAATTTAAGTGACAGAGATGTAGAGCGCAGCTTAACACCAAACGCCATTTTCCCCTCCTCCGCCTCCTTTGCTTCCTCTGCCACATCCACCAGCTCCTCTCTGCTCTCCACCTCCCCAGCTTCCAAGGCGGCTGTTACTGGGGGTACGTTTTTAGCTGGTGTAGCTTTTTTTAGGCTGGACTTTCTGTCCCACAGAATGCCTGAGCCTTTGGACGTGCTTTCCATTTCCTGAGACTCCCCAGCAGCTGTTTCTTGGGGGACGTTTCTTGCTGGTTCTGCCTTGTTGAGGCTGGACTTTCTGTCCCACAGAACAGCTGGACCTCTGGATGGAGATCCCTCTTGTTTCATTCTTTCTGCAGCAAAGGGGCTCCCTTTGAGCTGCATGATTTTAGGTTCCTCCTTTTCCTTCTCTGGTGCCCTTGTTGTTTTACTCATGGCTTCTATCTGTTCCAAGAGTTCTCCGAAACTGCCTGAACGTGGTCTTTCTTCCTCCTCGTTTCTGACAGTGCTGAAAGGCAAAGAGAATAAGCCTGATCCTGGGAGGGATTTCTTTATTCCTCTCGTAGTGTCCTCCTCACTATGAAGCTGTTGTTGAGCAAAAGAAGGCCTGGATGCCACCACTGAGCTGAGCGTGGGGAGCTGCTCAGGAGAAACTTCAGTCTTCTTGTCAGACGTTACTTGTATTTCCAAACCCCGCTCACTTTTGTCTTTTATTTCTGACTCGATGAAAGACGAGTGCGGCCGTTTAGTGGGAGCTGTACCCACCCGCCTGAGAGGTTTGACCATTTGGGAGGCTACTGTCTCGTGCTCCTGCTGGCTGGATACTTTAAGTGCTGCCTCGGAGGTGACTGATGGCAGCTTTGCAGGTTTCAAAGAAAGATGCTGAGAAAAGTTTATCTTCTCTCCCTCGGTCTCCTCTGCTCCCCCGTCTTCTCCCTTAACTTCTGACTCTATGAAAGATGAGTGCGGTCGTTTAGCGGGAGTTGTACCCACCCGCCTGAGAGGTTTGACCTGATGTATCTGGGAGGCTAATGCCTCGTGCTCCTGGTGGCTGCATACTTTTAGTGCTGCCTCGGATGTGACTGACGGCA